GCTAAATCCGCCGACGGCCAAGCGCAGGTGTGGCACAAGGACGTTCGCTTCTTCAACATTCGGTCGGCCGAGTCGAACGAGATCATTGCGCGCTTCTTCCTCGACTCGTTTGCGCGCCCGGCCGAGAAGCGCGGCGGTGCGTGGATGAACAGCGCTGTTGGCCGCTCCAAGCTCCTCGGCGCTAATGGCGCGATCCGCATTCCTGTGGCGTACCTCATCTGCAACCAGTCGCCGCCCGTCGGCGACAAGCCGAGCTTGATGAACTTCCGCGAGGTCGAGACGCTCTTCCACGAGTTTGGCCACGGCCTCCAGCACATGCTGACAACTGTCGAGCACGAAGCGGCCGCCGGCATCAACGGCGTCGAGTGGGACGCGGTCGAGCTGCCGTCGCAGTTTATGGAGAACTTTTGCTACCACCGCGGCACGATCAACGACATTAGCGGCCACTACGAGACCAACGAGCCGCTGCCGGCGGAGCTCTTTGAGAAGATCTGCGACGCGCGCAAGTACATGGCCGCGTCCGGGATGCTGCGCCAGCTCAACTTTGGCGCCCTCGACATGCACCTCCACCACAAGTTTGACCCGTCGGGCGACGAGACCATCTTTGACGTGCAAAAGGCGATTGCGGCCAAGTTCACTGTGCTTTCGCCCTTGCCGGAAGACCGGTTCCTGTGCTCGTTCTCGCACATCTTTGCGGGCGGGTACTCTGCCGGCTATTACAGCTACAAGTGGGCCGAGGTGCTCTCGTGCGACGCGTTCAGCAAGTTTGAAGAAGCCGGCCTTGACGACGAAGCCGCGCTCGCCAAGACGGGCCGCGAGTTCCGCGACACGGTGCTTGCGCTCGGCGGCTCGCGCCACCCGCTCCAGGTCTTTGAAGCGTTCCGTGGCCGTCCCCAGAGCACCGAGCCGCTCCTGAAGCAGTACGGCCTCTCGGCGTAAGAAGCATGCCAAGTTGTCTGTCAATATTACATCCATGTGTCGGTCTATCCAGCGTGTACAACTTGTCATCGAGCAAACGAGGAAAGTAGCTTTGGACAGAAACGTGCGCGGTGCTAGGTCCTTCGCACCTTTTATCGCACTCTTCCTGTGGCGCTGACTCGGCGACTCCGAGTCAGCATGGCGAGAAAGGCGACAGCCCGCAGACGCGCGTTGTTGAAGCCACCTGTCGTCCGACCAAAGAACGGCAGGAGGCCATGCGGGCTACCTGCATGTGTTGGGTGCCCTACCAGGCCGGCCAGCGCCCTGTCCTCGTACCTACGAGAGGTATGCTCTGGCCACCGATCTGCAGAAGCTAAGGTGACTTGGGTGACATGGCACTTGCGTTGAAGTTGGCGGATCCTAATTCAGCGCGGCCCTTCGATATTCTTGCCTAATTAGGCACTACATTGCACCAGGCGTGTCCCACGTGTTGAGGTCAACACGAGATCGCGACGACTTGAGCGGAGACGACGCGACGGCGATGGCCAAGAAGGAGCACTTTAGGTACACGGTGTCCAACTTGATCATCTTCCTCTTCCCGCCCTTCCGGGCGACGCGTAGGTAGACGCGCATGGCATCCTGCATGGCGTCGACGACTTACCATGAACATGCTGCTGTAGCGGCTTTCTTAACCTGTGCTTTCTCTACCCGCTGCAATGGTGCGAGTCCTTGCTCATCCAGCCGACGAGCCGATTGCGGCGCCACATGCCACTGCTCGGCGGGATCTGCGTCATCTGCTTGACCTTGGGCAGCATGCTGCTGCGGTCGGCGTGGCAGTGGCTCCATGATGTTATCTCGGGCACGTTTTCGTCCACGGACGCCAAGGTCAACTTTGAAGCGTTCTGGAGTGGCATCTACCACGACTATGCATTTCTCGAAGGCAACGCGAACTGGTCGCTCGTGCATCGGCTCTTTGGCGACAAGATTGACGGCGCGACGACCGAGCACGACCTCTGGACGGCGCTCGTCGACAGCATCGCGCTTCTTGACGACCCGTGCGTCACGATCTCCAACGTCTCGATCCCCAACAACAACCGCGTGCGGTCCATGGACCTCGACGGCTGGGTCCGCGACCAGCTTGACAACTACAATGTGATTGCGAACCAGTTTACGTGGGGTGTTGTCCGGCACTCAAGGCCGATCGGATACCTCTCGCTCTCGGCACTCGAGGGCTTTGTCGAGCTCCAGCTGCCGTTCGAGCTGCGCTCCTGCGGTACGCGGCGCAAGCCGTGCACCAAGGTTGCCATCGATGCTTCCTTGATGCCGAGCTCATGATCGTACGTGCATCCGTAGGGTTTGGTGCCCGAGATGTACGACCTCGAAGCGATGCGCTGGGCGATGGAGGCCATCGTGACGCATCTCCATGCGACGCATCTGCACGGACTCATTTTGGACTTGCGCCACAGCACGGGCGGCGGCTCGTACATTGTGTCGCTTGTGCTCGCGTCATTCTTCAAGCCGCCGTCGTTCGCCTTTATCATGGAAGAACGGCTCCAGAAGCGGCAGTTCCACGTACCAACGTCACGACTGCGCTACGATGGGCCGCTCGCGATTCTCCAAGGCGCCGACACGGCTCGGTAGGACCTTGGCTGTCAAGAAGAATGCGCGTGCGAGCATGTCGTCCTTTGGTTGTAGGACCAGCGAACTCCTCCTCCTCGCCCTCCTGCACCGGCCCAAGACGTGTCGACTCGGCGCCAAGACGGCCGGGCGGCTCTCGGACGTGCGCGAGATGTCGCTCCCCAACGGGTGGGTCGTCGACGTCCCGTACCAGCGCTGCTACGGCGAGGACGGCAAGCAGTACCAGAAGACGGGCATTCCGCCGCAGAAAGCACTGCCCGAGCCGCAATGCTGGGCCGCGGCCCTCGAGTACCTCGACCGCGAGTGGCAGCATACGCACAACGAAGCAGCGTCGTCGTAACAACACTATCACTTTAAACGCGATTCGATCCCATCTCTACATGTCGCGACGAGGCGATTGCAGAAGACCGAGTGTGTCGGGCGAGATGCGGACTCGGCTCGTTGCAATCGCACGCAGGAGGAGGTCTGCGACGGCCTTGCGCGCCTCGAGGCTGCTCTCGGGCGCAAACAGTGGAAGCAGCTGCAGGCCGAGGCGCATGATCTGATCGTCGCAGTGGTCGCGTAGATACACGAGCATCGCCGCGTGCTGGTGTGCGGCCGCGCAGCAGAGCGCGAGGAGGTGGCAGGTCCGCAGCGGCGTCTCTGCAAAGAGGAACTGGACGCCGTCGACGTGCCCAAGCGACACGAGCGCGTCCATCGTGCGCTGCAGCCACGACTCGCGCTGTGTCGCGACGAGCCGGCCAAGCCCGGCGACGCCAAACGACACGAGCCAGCGATCAAAGCGAAGGAAGAAGGCGTGCGTGAAGAGGTGCGTCTCGCGGTAGATGCGCGCCAGCGGCCGGACGCACGCGTGCACGCCGTCTTGGTACGACACGATGAGCAAGAGCAGGCCGGGGCAGACGAGCGCGGCTTGCGACGTCCGCGGCGACGTGAACCGGAGCCGCTTGGCGCCTTGACGCGTGAGCATCGCAAGATATGAATGGCGGGAACCAGCACGAAACGGACGGGCCACCGATTAAAACAAGTGAAAGCAAGATGAGCAGGCCACGTAGCTTCCGCCGGTGACAACGTCTTTTCGGGGAGCCTAGATGGCCTGCAATGGTATGTGTCGGACCTCTCCGGGACTGATATGGGCTGTTGGTTGGGCTGCCTTGGTAGTACTACTGGAAAGGTCGCTTGAACGCAGCCATAGAAAGACGTACTAGAGCTCACGCAATTGGAAGCAACGACAGGCTAAACGATGCTTGGAGGACACTAGAACAGACTGTACCCTAGCAGGACAGGTGTTGACGCTGGACGACGATAGAGTAGTCCAAGAGATCGAACAGCAACAGCGCGATCTGCTTGTCCCTTCTGAAGCAATCCCTCGTTTTCCAGCGCTAACATCTGTTCTGCTAGGGTAGTCTGCCTACAAGTATCGTCTCGCAGGGTGCGAACTGAAGCAGCTAAAGACAACGAAGTTGGAGCGAGATCTTAACCCTCCCAGACCTAAGAAATCCGGAAAGGGCAACCGACTGGCAATGGCAGACCAAGACGATGCGATCTCCGCTGCCATCACGAGACAAAGTCCCGGACGATGTGCGGCATGAGGTCGTCAATGGCGGCTTCAATCTGCGCAGCGCAGGCTTCGTACACGGACGCGTCTTGGTGCCACGGGTCGGCAATGTCACTTGGAAAGACACGCACAGTTGCCCGCAGCGTCGGGAAGAGCGCGCGGAGCATGCGCTCATGGCGCGCCGTGACGCAATATACGACATCTGCGGACTCTATGAGCTCGCGGTTGACGAGGCGCGACCGGTGAAGATGGAGGTCGACGCCTCGGCGCTGCATGGCGGCGACGCCATAGGCCGACGCGGGGCTGTTGGGCGGCTCAAACTCGTCCGACAAGGCGACCGAGCCGACGCGCAGGCCCGGCGCCGGGTGCTTCCGAAGCCAGCGCTTGGCGAGCGCCTCCGCCATCGGCGACCGGCACGTGTTGCTCGTGCACACGAAGAGAAGCAGCACCATACAGAGTGTGGTATCCGGTTAGCAGATCGTATCTTCCGGATATCGATCGCAAGCGGACACGAGCGCCGAAGGTCAACAACTCATTCCTTCCTACGACGCCCGTGCTGCCATGGCCACGACTGGCATTGCCTTGGTGCTTCCGAGCGGCGGCGAGAACGGACTCCACGAACTGGAATTTCCTCGCATGACGACGCGAAGCGATGAGGCGGTGCCACGTCATGCTCCACGCTCCAGACATGTTGCACTCTAGAACTCGCTGATACCCATGGCTGATACCTTGACTGTTTATAGCAACTAGTCGCAGTGGACACACGTCGTCGAGGATGTTCGTTGAGCGCGACTGCGATAGGTCACATGCCACATCCACGAATGCTTGGGCGTCGGAAGTGTAGTATGCGAAATCTCGGAGACTCTTTCACGCAGACGTCTTTATCACCCCAACGGCGATATATGACACGCAAGGACCATGCCCATGGACGAGAGGCACGTTAGACCCCGCGACGGTACCCGAGGCACCTGCATCGCTCGTCCATGTACTCGCAGTGGCGTCCATTGGACCGTCGCCACGAGAAGCGGCGTCATCATCTCGAGAGCAGCATGACACCGACGAACGTATTGCGGATCCTTGCCATCATCGTGCCACGTCTGCCCATGGCTACTCGCCGCCGTCTGTTGATCGCTGCATGAACACGCATCTGTCGGCGCCACGACGGCGATGTGCATCGCGCTTGGTGCATCGCCTACACTACCTGGTGGAGCGAGGCAAGCTTCTCGGCAGCTCGCGAGCTTCGGTGCTTGTCACATGGGCGCAAGTTGCACCCGAGCCCTGAATCTAGACTGGGCCAATCGCAGGCAGGCGGCACCGCCACGACTTCAACATCCTCTAGTCTCTCATAGGTAATGAATGACGCGGTGATAGCACACGCCAAGCGGCCCTGTTTCTGCGTCCTCGCGACTCGGCTCTCGCGACGATCGTTGCGTACTATAGCCTAGTCTTCTGTTCGTACACTACCTTTTCACACTGTGAGGCAAGTGGCGACGGCTATTACAGCTGACCTGTGCGACGTCCTACATGTACTCTGCTCTGGTGCGCACTGGACCTCCAACTCAAAATGAAAAAGCAAAATGAAACCTAGAGTCCTAAGGCCATAGTTAAAATGCCGCACCATAGAGCCTACACTCGAGTCATATACTAGCCTCGCTGCTATGTGCGCTGGATTCTTGGCGGCCTTGCATGGTCCCTGGCACGCGAAGTGAATCCGGTGATGGATTCGGGGAATAAAACCTCCATCTTTGAATATCCTGTATAAAAACATGTCTCAATCTGAATACTAGGACGCGTTTTGACTGTCGAGGAAAACCCCTCATTTCGGCTTTTGCCACCGCCCGACCAAGTAATACCATGATCAACGACACGCCGCAGTGGACGCGCCTCGCCGCCCACGCCGACGCCATCAAGGCCACGCACCTGCGCACGCTCCTCAAGGACGAAGGCCGCAACGCGGCCCTTCTTGCCGAGCACAACGGTATCACGCTCGACTACTCGCGCCAGAACGCGACCTTGGAAACGATGGACTTGCTCTTTGACCTCGCCGAGGCCGCGCAGCTGCGCCAGAAGCTGTCGGCGATTGCCAGCGGCGAGCACGTCAACAAGACGGAGGACCGCGCGGTCATGCATATGGCGCTCCGCAGCCCCGCGACGAAGCCCATGTACGTGGACGGCAAGAACGTCGTCGAGGACGTCCACGAGGTGCTTGGCGCGATTCGCAAGTTTTCGGACCGCGTCCGCAGCGGCGAGGCCCATGGCGCGACGGGCAAGAAGCTCCTGAACGTCGTGTCGATTGGCATTGGCGGCAGCTACCTCGGCCCCGAGTACGTCTTTGAGGCGCTTCGCCACGAAAAGGTCGCCAAGGCGGCGGCTGCCGGCCGCACGCTCCGCTTCCTTGCGAACGTTGACCCTGTCGACGCCGCGCGCGCGGTCGAGGGCCTCAACCCTGAAGACACGTTGGTCATCGTCGTCTCCAAGACGTTTACGACCGCGGAGACGATGCTGAACGCGCGCACGCTCCGCAAGTGGCTCGTCGACGGCCTTGCTGCCCACGGCGTCTCGGCCGCGGACGCCATCCGCCACCACATGATCGCGGTCTCGGCGGCCGTGCCCAAGGCGCAGGAGTTTGGCATTTTGCCCGAAAACGTCTTTGGCTTTTGGGACTGGGTCGGCGGTCGCTACAGCGTGTGCTCCGCGGTCGGTATCGTCCCGCTGGCGCTCCATTACGGCGCCGACATCACGGACGCGTTCCTTGCCGGTGCCCACGACCTCGACGAACACCTCTTGAACGCGCCGCTGCGCGAGAACCTCCCGGTGCTCCTCGGCCTCCTCGGCATCTGGAACTCGTCGTTCTTGGGCCACGCGACGCGCGCGATGCTGCCGTACGCGCAGGCGCTCCTCCGCTTTGCGGCGCACATCCAGCAGGTCGATATGGAGTCGAACGGGAAGCGCGTCGCGCTCGACGGCTCGGTGCTGCCGTTCGCGGCCGGCGAAATCAACTTTGGCGAGCCCGGCACGAACGGCCAGCACAGCTTTTACCAGCTCATCCACCAGGGCCGCGTCGTGCCCTGCGACTTTATTGCGTTTTGCAAGAGCCAGAACCCGACGCACCTCAGCGGCGAGAAGGTCTCGAACCACGACGAGCTCATGTCGAACTTTTTCGCGCAGCCGGACGCGCTCGCGAACGGCAAGACGGTCGAAGAGCTCGCGGCCGAAGGCGTGCCCGAGGCGCTCCGCCCGCACAAGGCGTTCCCGGGCAACCGCCCGTCGGTGTCGCTCCTCTTCCACGGCACGCTCGATGCGTTCGCGTGCGGCCAGCTCCTCGCCTTGTACGAGCACCGTACGGTGGTCCAGGGCGCCATCTGGGGCCTCAACAGCTTTGACCAGTGGGGCGTCGAGCTCGGCAAGGTCCTCGCGACGCAGGTCCGCAACCAGCTCAGCGCGTCGCGCGCCAACGCGAGCGCGCCGTTGCAGGGCTTCAACAGCTCGACGTCGGCGCTCCTGAAGCGGTACCTCGCCTAAGCAACATGTATAAAATGACAATAATGTGTGTACTTTTGCTGTGTCGATCCTTTGGCTACTCGTGGCAAACGAGCCAAACCAGCATCTTTGGTAGCAAACACCAGGGCCATAAACTTACATGTGGCCTTGGTAGCACATACTAGTAGTTCTTAGTGGTTCGCGGGCCGTCAAGGTGGCAGTGTTGATTGTCTTCGACCTCGCGTCGCTTGCACAGCCGTGAGCTACAGCCGTGGACTTGTTGCCACCACGACCATCCAATTGAGGACGCGCTCGTGGTGGCTCCCGCACCTCTGCAACACCGTAGTACATACCTGCAATTGCATCACTCCGCCTACACGCAAAGATACACAAACAGACAGACAGGTTGCATTGACTGGATCGTGCACTCCTTTTCGTGAGCGAGAAGTGGCCAAGCCACAAGTGGCTACGGACAGCTCTCGACCGTCGCGTGTGCCATGGTATGTGGCTAGCTTTCGGAAAGCGAGGTCGCCCGTTGCAGCAGGCGTCTGCCAGCACTTTTATACGACGCACTTTGGGGTACTGGAAGCAGGCGCATTGGAAAATGGCGACGAGGCCGCGCTTAAGGTCCTCGTTCAAGACCCGCAGAGGGCTCGCGTGCGACGTGGTCCACGACTCTGTCGCGGGAGATCGGACACGCGTCGACGAGGACTGCGTCACGCAGGAGCAAGGCCGTCCGAGACGTTGAGGATCCCATAGTGAAGGTGTTGAACTATCGCGGAGGATCCGTGTTCCGTAGGCGACATTGCGCATGGGCATTAACAGCTTGACGCAATGGAGAGTGCAAGCAAGGGTACATACCCTGGGTGCAAGCGACGAGCGGGACGAGGCATATTGCATCCATCCGGACGGGACTGCACGCGACAGGTGGACAAGCTAAGGAGATTGCCCTAACCTCTCTGGGATCAGGCGAAAACACGTTCGTCACCCTTATCTCCTAGAGCTGGCTTAGCGGAATTGCAACCTGAAATCGCTTGGGCTGCGTCATATCTTTCGACGACGCACACGAGAAGAGCCGCCACGTCTTGATGTCAAAAATGTACAACTTGTCATGGTACTCGAGACTCAGTAAGCCAGCGAGGACGGCCGACGTCTTGTCGAGATAATACTCCCCCTTGTACTTCCAGTTTGTAAAGTCCAACATGTAGACGCAGTGGGCGTTGAGGAGGAGGGAGTGGACGCCAGGCGGTACCAAGCCTCGCAGACGCCAGCGATCCCAGCCAAACCAGACGCAAATGCAACTTAGAGCAACGACGACGACGCCACGGACACCGCTGGTGGAGCCAATGTGGATAGATGCGCTCGAGCAAAGGAGTCCAGCGTCCATGTCCACAAAAGTGCAGTGTCGGTGCAGTGTCGCCGAGTACGAGAGTGGTGCGACGAAAGACCAAACAACCAAGATGAACCACGTCGTGAG